GATGATTGTTATTATATAATACTGTTTATAAACAGTAATATTATTTTATTGTCACACAATATTTAAGGTGCAAATGTGTTTTCGTAGAAAAGCAAACTAATTATGAAAAACATATTGGATTTGAAATTATAGCAAATTCTGTGTTATTTTTTTGGTAAAAAAGAGAATTTTGACAGAAATGTAAATAATATTTATGTAAATTTCAAGGTATAAGAGTATCCTGTCGTATATTTTAAAAATATTTGCCACAATATTTAGGTAAATAAGGTATGATTCATATCATTGTGATATAACACGAGATAGTTGTCAAGCATTTTATTTTATTTTATGAAAAATATTACATGTTTTATTCTTAATTAAATGTTCCTAATATTAAATAAAATATTTTTGTGGAACTCATAATATAATATAAATAACAATAATATAATGACCAGGGTATCTAAATAAAGTATGCTAAAATAAAAGTTTCATTGTTTAAAACATAATTATATGATACTGTATAATTATCATGTCATTCATATGATATACTGTATGGTATACTGGAAAGTAGAGGTATTTTATAAATTACATAATGTAGAACTTGTTTGTAACTTGTTTATAACTTACTGTATATGTTACAAGTCAACCGCTTTTACAGTGCATTTCTGATGCAATCATTGTTTTATATTACACTTGAATTGAAAATAATTTTGTATACAGTTTAAACTTAATTTTATTTGAATTACAATTCAATATTAAAAATATCTCCATAAATAACACAGTATTGTATTAAACAACAAACAAAATTACAATTCATATCTCAAACACAACATAATTAACATAAACTGCAAACTTTGATTTATTGCATTTAAGAGTAAATAATAAACAAAAATTCAATTAGATCATTACATAATTAAATCAAATCAAATATATAAACTTAATTACCATTAAGTACTGTACAATGAAGTCTAACATTAAATCCCTTAAATAGCGTACAATATATGAGTAAAAATAAAATACGAGAAAATTTGAGTACACTATTAGAGACTAAACAACTAATGACTGATTAAACGACAAAATCCAATGAATACTACAATCGAGAGGTACGGCTATAACAAGCGCTCATTTGTGGCCCTTTTGAACGGGTATTTTAGTGACGGGCGGCTCCTTCAGCGCCGGGAGGGGCGCCTCAACAGTCAACTGGCCGTCCGATGTCAACAGCGACCGGATCTGCTCGACAGTCACCTCTTCGGGCAGTGAATACTGATAACTATATTCACGCAACTGTTTGCAGCCGTCGGCGGTAGACTCCCGGCGCGCCTTAACCGTCACCTCCCGGTCCTTCACAGTGACGGTGATGTCTTCGGGCCTGAACTCTGAGCCTAAGTCCAGCGATATCTTGTAGAGTCGTTGGCCATCGGCGGTGGTCTCCACGGGAACCGTACGGAAGTGGGGGTCAAAGAGCCGGTGCCGGAGGGCTCCGAAGGGCGACAGGCGGTCGAAGTCGCGCCACAAGCGGCCCATCGATCGCTCCATGTCTGCGACGGTCTGATCCCGGAGATAGTAGCGTCTGGAGGGACAGTAGTGTCGCCGTGGGATCAGTTGGCGGCCAATGGCGGCGCTCACGGGTCCGCTGCGGCACCGCATGATTGGCACCAAACGCTGCAAATGATTGTATGTCATCGTCGGTCCAGTCGTTGCAGTCGACACACAAAGGGTTGTCACTAGTGGTGAGTCTTGGGATGAGTTGTGGTGATGTGATGGTGTGGGCGAAGAGGTTTGCGGCGAAACACCAATTGATTCAGTGATCAGTGCTTTCAATGAAATGTAAACGCGTTTTGTATTCACTTTTATACCCCTTTTATGAGCCAATTGTTGTCAACATTACGTCAGACAGTGTTTACCAGAATCCACGCAAACAATCAATTATGGCGTCAATATGTTTACCCCGGGTATTCAGTATCGCGATTATTTCAGACGACTATTATTAAGAATTGAGTAGCATGATGATTTTTGGTTTAAATTAATATAACTTTTTAATTTTCAGCTTAAAACTAATGGTATTATAATTATATATTAATGACTTTAGCTATTAATACGTTTAATATAGTTGTCGTTATTTATGTAAAATGTTTGTATGACTGACAGAATATTCTAGTGAGTGGTAGAGAGTTCGAGCCCCGTATCCGTCAGGTCATACTTTTGTCACACATTCCTCATTAGTTTTTATGGAATTTTCATTTTTTAAATTATAATCACTTTGTTGATTATTTTATCATGATAATCTCACATGAATGATCACGATTTATTTGTTCACTCATACCCCGATCACATTATCTAACTTTTATACATGCATTTACATCTATGCTAATTAGTAATTAGATAGAAAAATGTTATTTTTAATAAGATTGCTTTAATTTATGCAGATTATTATTTTACCTATGTTGACATATACTAAATTATCATAGATATTTATTGTTTGCATTCATATGGATTATTGTTTTCGTTTGGTTGAATGCAAATGTCAATTTAATTAAATGAATAGAATTTAATTTATTTCATATTAGTCTTTGGTTTCATGTTATTTAATATTTGCATAAATGATATGAAATTTATTATGAATTTCCGTAGAATTATGAAAAATTAATGTTAACTGTTGAAAGACAACTGGAGAGAGAGAGAGAGAGAGAGAGAGAGAGAGAGAGAGATTACTTTATATAATGTATCGGCGCATAAGGCTATCGAATCAAATGTCAATAAATTAGGATTTATTACTCCAATATTCACCCTGTACAAAACATATTCAATATCTACTATTTTATAATGAATTTAGAAATTACAAATCATTATTAAATAAAATTTTAATGTGATCCATGTATAATTAAATAACTTATTATTATAAAATTGTTTAATGTTGTGACCAAAATTGTACATGTTATGTGGGCGCACCGTTATGTAGGATATATTGTATGTTTTATCTGGATTCTAGTGAATAGGATATTCTGGAAACGCAATGAAACACTATAAATGTCTATAAGTTTAAGTGTCAGTGTAATGCTGCTCACAGTCGTACTCATGTTTTGTTTGACCAGTGTTCAAGTTTATCTCATATGTTCAATACTAGCTCATGTGAATGGTATACCCGAATTATTGCGAGTTAACACAAAAGTTGTGCTTGTATAAAAGCAAGAAAACTTTTGTTTAACTTAAAATACAATGATTTCATTAAATGTATGTATTCATCATAATTAAGTAATTTATAAATAATTTATATAACTTTTTGTTTCAATTATAGGATATATTTAATGAGGAAATCGGTAACGAATATGTATTCACTGACCAATCCGTGTCGTCAACCATTGCGGAGCAGTCTTCGTATATACCCGGCTTAGATTTGGTTCCACTGACACCCATACCCGTCCCATCCCATGCCTATAAGCCGTGTGACGATGTGTCAGCACTGAGACAGTTGTCAATGGATAGCGAGGACAGGACTGACGAAGAGGAACAGTATGTGTTTGTTTTCAATTAGATATTGACTTAAATTAACAAAATATAATTATTTTACTAATTTGTGAATCAATATAATATTTTGTTTTTAAAAAGTTTATGCAATATTTCAATATTGCAATATATATCTCGCTCGTAAAATTTATAAACTAAAGTTACTACTGCACCATGTTAATTCTTAGAAAAGTATAAATTTTATATGATAAGGGAGAAAAAGATTAAGTAAAACTTATATTCAATATATTGACTCTATTTCTATACAAACATCATTTAAGACGCAAACATGTAATAAGAGTTTCAAAAACGTCAGACGAGAGAGAAAACAAAACGTTAAACTGTGTTGAGGTCTACTTATAATCATTTTAACACTTATTAATGAATACTATACACGAAATGTTAATACAGTTATCCTTCGTATTGACTCAAATTGCATGCTATTTGTGATATTAAAAGCGATTTTGGGGTTTGACACACGAAAAGTATCTTAACTTTTGTATACCAGACCTCTC